GCCCCCCGCAGACGGGCTGTGCGTGGAGCCCCCCGCCTGCCCCTGCTTTTGGGACGGCTTCGCCTTCCCGGCCGGCGCCACCGTGACCCAGGGCTGCAGCAACTGGTGAGCCACTGGTGGATACTGGGGTCCCGGGCGGCGGCCTGCCGGGGTCCGGACACCGGGACACCGGGACATGGGGACACCGGGACACCGGGACACCGGGACATGGGGACACTGGGATCCCGGGCGGCAGCCTGCCGGGGTCCGGGACACCGGGAAACCGGGACAGTGGGACACTGGGACACCGGGATACTGGGACACCGGGACGTGGGGACACAGGACACCTGGGAAATGGGATATTGGGATCCCAGGACATTGGAACACCAGGACACGGCGACAGTGGGATTTGGGACACGGGGACCCCTGGACACCGGGACACTGGGACAGGGGCACACCGGAACGCCGGGGCGGGGCGCACCGGGACCCGGCAGCCCCCGGCCCCCTTTGAGTCCCGTCCTGTCCCGCCTTCAGCACGTGCCTCGAGGGGCGCTGGCAGTGCCCCCCGAGCCCGTCCCCGTGTCCCGCCGCCCCCGGCTGCGCCCCGTGGGAGTTCCGGTGCCGGGCCGGGGGTCTCTGCGTGCCCGGGGCCTGGCTCTGCGACAACGAGGACGACTGCGGGGACGGCTCGGACGAGCTGTGCGACCCCCCCTGCGCCCCCCAGCAGCCGCGCTGCCCCGGCGGGCGCTGCCTGCCCTGGGGGGCGCGCTGCGACGGCGTCACCCACTGCCCCGACGGCTGGGACGAGGCGGGGTGCCCGGGCCCGGCCTGCGCGCCCCCCGACTTCTCCTGTGCCGGGGGGCGCTGCCTGCCCCCCGCGCGCGTCTGCGACGGGCGCCTCGATTGTCCCCCCGGGGACGACTCGGACGAGGCGGGTGAGTGAGCACGGGGGCTCGGGGGGGCCTGGGAGTGGGGGGCTGCAGGGGGTTTTGGGGTCCTGGGGAACTAGAGAGACCTGCAGGCTTTGAGGTCTGTGCGACACAGTGGGGTCCCTGAGCCCCCCAACATTGGGGGTCTGTGCCCCACACTGAGGGTCCCTGAGCCCCCCAACCCTGGGTGTCTGTGCCCCACACTGAGGGTCNTGGGGGTCTGTGCCCCACACTGAGGGTCCCTGAGCCCCCCAACATTGGGGGTCTGTGCCCCACACTGAGGGTCCCTGAGCCCCCCAACCCTGGGTGTCTGTGTCCCTCACTGAGGGTCCCTGAGCCCCCCAACATTGGGGGTCTGTGCCCCACATTGAGGGTCCCTGAGCCCCCCAACATTGGGGGTCTGTGTCCCACACTGAGGGTCCCTGAGCCCCCCAACATTGGGGGTCTGTGCCCCACACTGAGGGTCCCTGGGCCCCCCAACATTGGGGGTCTGTGCCCCACACTGAGGGTCCCTGGGCCCCCCAACCCTGTGCCCCCCGCGGCATCTGGAGGTCGCGGGGATGGCGCCGCTCGGGAGTCCCCGGGAAGCAGAGACCCGCCGGTGCCCCGTGCGGTGCCGGTGCCCCCGGTGGGAATGTCCGTGCCCACCTGGGGGTCCCGTCCCCGCAGGCTGCGCCCCCCGGTGCGGGCCGGGGCAGTTCAGGTGCGGGGGGGGCAGGTGTGTCCCCTACGGCCACCGCTGCGACGGCCGCGACGACTGCGGGGACGGGAGCGACGAGAGCGGCTGCGCCTGCCCCGAGGGGCACCTGCCGTGCCCCGGCGGCGGCTGCCAGCCCCCCGCCGCGCTCTGCGACGGCCGCCGCCACTGCCCCGACGGCGCCGACGAGGCCAACTGCCCCGGTGAGCGGTGCGGGGGGACAGCCGCTCCGGGACCCCCCCGACCCCTCTGCCCCGGCAGCGTCCCACCGGGGACCCCCACCGGGCACCCTTCACCTGGGAACCCCCACCGGGGACCGACGCGGGACCCCTCTGCCCTGGGAGCACCCCACGAGAGCACCCACCTGGGGACCACCCCCATCCGCCCCGAGAGGCTCCCGATCCAGGGACTCACCCCCCAGGGACCCCCTACCCGGCATCGCCCCTTTGGGGACCCCACCCCGCGACCTCCTCGCCCCTCTGGGACCACCTCCCGCCCCGGGACCCCCCTCGGACAGCATCCCCCCGGCGGCGGTGTCACCGCTGTCCCCGCGTCCCCAGCGCGGGCCACCTGCGCCCCCGGGACCGTGCCCTGCCCCGACGGCTCCTGCGTGCCCGAGGCCGCCGTGTGCGACGGCGCCCGCGACTG